TTTTTTTTTTTTTTTTTTTTTTTTTTTTTTTTTTTTTTTTTTTTTTTTTTTTTGTGAATTCTAATTTCTAATTACTAGATTGGTGTTGGCCTTTTCAGTCTCACCAAAATACAGTCAAATTCCTGAGATTGTCTTTTTGACAAAGAATAAAAATACTTATTTGATTACAAATATAAAATTTGTATGAAAAGAAAATAAATTTTAGGGTTCAAAATTCAAAGCAAGAGTATCTCCAATACAACTGTATTGTTTACAACTTTATTCTACACAAGCAATAATAGATAATTCATTAAAAAAATTCATTAAGACCATGTTTGGTGCATATTTTTTCTCCAAGAATGCATTTGTTTTGTTTTGTTTTTCTTTCTTTTTTTTGGTTTTTTTGGTGATGGAAGGGGATATGTAGTTGAAAAAAAAAAAGCTACCGATGTGATGAAAAAAATTATTTTATTGAATAATGTGCGATCGAAAATGTGTAGAAAAATAAAAATGAAAAAATAATGTGACTCAAAGAGCTAAGTTGACTTGACGGAGAAAAAAATAGACCATAGATAGAGTTATACCTGAATTTGAAGCTTTGTTGAGTAATTGAGTCAGCAATGTTTTCTTTTCACATTTATATACTATGTATTCCATGATGCATTGGTTACAAAACAATGGGGCTCAAACAAGCTTCTAATTAGTTATCACTAGAATCTATTCAAGAATAGTCGCGAGTTTAACATACATTTATTACAAAGTAGTGTCATATAAATTGAAAGTCGTTCTGCTTTTGTGCAGCGGCTATAGCATTCCATAAAATATAGTGGAAATACCCTTATGGCCTGTTTGATAGGTCCTTATTTTTCATGGAAGTTGGAATTGAAATTCCATTTCCTACTTTTGCCATGTTTTTTCCCCTAGAATTGGTTTTCCATATTTGTTAGTTGAATTGAAATTTCCACCTTTCAGGTGGGAATTGAAATTCCATCTTTTTGTTTTTTTTTTTTTTTTTTTTTTTTTTTTTTTTTTTAAAAATAAAAAAAAA